AGAATAATTGCCCATAAGGAAATATTGGGGAATACTTGCCCATAGGGATACATTGGGGAATATTTGCCCATGGGGATACATTGGGAATTACTTGATTATAGGGAAACATAGAAAACATCTCCAATATTTCCCTATAAACAAGTATTCTCCAGTGATTCTCTATGATCAAGTATGGTTTCCCAATGGGTAAGTACTGTCAATTGTTTTAGTACTTCCCTGCTTTAAGTCAGTGCTAGGGAATCCTGGGAATTGTAGTAAAGAGCCCTGGAGGTGCAGTGGTTAATTGCCTGTACTGCAGCCACTCATTCACAAAACCACAAGGTTGTGAGTTCAATACCAGCCAAGGGCTCCAGGGTCTACTCAGCCTGGCATCCTTGCATAGGTGGCAGAGGGCCTCTGCAAACGGCTAATTGGGCCGTCTTGGAGGCAGGGAAGAGGAGGGGCAGCCGCACGCTCGGCGCCCCTTCCTCCTCCCGAGGTTGCCCTCGGAGCAGCCGGCCCTCCGCACAGCCGGCGCTCCGAGGGCAACTTCCCACCGCAGCGTCCGCACACGCTGTGGCAGATAAGTCAGTGAAAGTGCGCCCTATGCTTTTGGGGCACACTTTCACTGACTTCTGAAAGGAGCGCTGATTTAGCGCTCCTTTCAGGGGCGCCGACGGTGCGCCGTGGTGCGGATGCCGCGGTCCCGCAGCGCACCATCCTGCGACGTCCCAGACGCCCTCGTCAGCTTCCCCCTTAAAATGAGTACTCAGCTTATTGGGGACAATTGGATTACACATTGTAAACTGCTTAAGGAGTGTTTAAGTGCACTGATAAGCTGTATAAATATATACTTCCTATTGCTATATTGCTATTATTTTGTTGTGGCACCAGAGCTATCTATGATAGAGAAGGCTAAATGTCTTACAAAACGACAGTTCCCAGAATTCTCTAGCATTGAGCCAGTGCAGGTAAAGCAGTCCCAAACTGGATTATTTCTGCAATGTGTTTTGGACCTCTCTCTTTCCCTCTCTCTGGCTGCATCCACATTGCAGAAAATAATCCTGTTTGGCACCACTTTAATCGCCCTGGCTCCATGCTATGAAATTCTGGGGGTTATAGTTTGTTGTGGTGCAACTTTATATGGCGACATAAGTTGGAAAAGACTTGGAAGCACACAACAAGAAAAGCAACAGGTATTAATAATAACAATAATAATAATTTTTTCCTGCCTCTTCTCAAGGCTTGAGGCAGAGTACAACATGTTAAAATACAAAGCACAATTTAAAAAGAAAACACAAAAAAAAGTTCTGAAGGCTCAGAAGCTCAGGCTGCATCCACACCACTAAAAATGACCCAGTTTTACACCACTTCAACTGCTATGGAATTCTGGGACTTGTAGTATGTTGTGACACAACTTTATTGATTCTGTTTTATGCATGTTTTAGTGACTAATTTTGAAATTAAGCAACTATCTATGGATCAAATAAGATAAAGGCAATGTAAAGCAAAATGTATAATTGGTTATGAGTAGCCAAACTGGTGTAGTGGTTTAAGTGTTGGACTAAGACTCTGGAGACCAGGGTTCAAATCCTGTTTCGGCCTTGTAAACCCACCAGTTGACCTTGGGCAAGTCACACTCTCTCAGCCTCAGGGATAACAATGGCACACTCCCTATGAAGAAACTTGCCAATAAAGCCCCATGATAAGGTCACCATAAGTTAAAAACAACTTGAAGGCACACAACAACAACAAGAAAAGCAACAGCTTATTTTTTTTTAATTTTTTATTACAAACAACACAAACATATACATACAAAAACATATCAATGCATACCTACAGACAAAATTTGCATACATACATCCTGAACATACAGCAATACTTGGAAAAAATTCTAACAATAACTTAGATATTAAATTTTACAATAGCTATTGTAATCCTCTATATAACAACTTCCCAAGAAATTACTTTCTTAAAGAATAAATTTAATGGTTTTGTCTATATACCTTCTAAGAATCTGGTCTTTGTATATACTGTTATTACTGTTATAAATATATATTTTGCTATATTACTACTACGCCATTACCATTCAGTATTTTTAGCTCTATACATAATTTTTTTCTGTCATAGTGTACCATTTTGAGTCTATAGTTATTCTCTTTTACATTTTATTCTACAAATAAATGTTCTCACATTTATTTATTGGATATTTAATCCAATTTATCCCTCTTTTTTACCATAGATCTTAAAACAATTCTAGTCCTCTTCTATGTTGGATCTTGGTTGTTCTTTCAGAGTTCCTGTCAATATGTCCATGTCCCTGGCTTCTTTTATTTTAATTATCCAGTCTTCAATAGATGGAATTAAATTTTGCTTGCAATATTTAGCATATAGAATTCTCTCCGTGGTGACCATATAGAGTAATATACAGTTATTTTTTTCCGATTGTGATATCTAAAATACATGTCATGTTCAATATAAACAAGTTGAGGGTTCAATGGCAATTTTATCTCTTAATCATCATCGAATTATTTTCCAAAATTTTTGTGCTTCCTGACAGTTCCACCAGATATGGATAAAACTGCCTTCTGGTTTATGACATTTCCAACAACTCATATTCCCAGTTTTATATATGGAATTAAGTTTAAAAGGAGATATGTACCATTGGTACGTCATTTTGATGAAGATTTCTTTGTAGGTCTGACACGATGTGAACTTATTAGTAGAGGACCAAGTTTTCCCTCACTGTTCAAGATTAGTGGTTGTCCTGAGGTCTTGAGCCCACTTTATCATCAAATGTTTTATTGTTTCCTGTTCCAAATCCCTGCTTTTCAATAACTTATAATATTTAGCTATATGGCCTTTTCCTTTGTCCAATTTTAACTATATGTCCTTTTCCTTTGTCCAATAATATTTTATCTAATTGATCCGCCCCCTCAAAGAATCCTAATGTATTTTTGTCTATCTTATAGCATTCAGTTAATTACACGTGTAGAAATCAGTTGTGGTTTATCTTTTCTTTGCATAGTTCATCCAAAGATTTCATATTATATTCATTTTTCTTTCCTGGGTTAATAAGTCCTTGTATTTTAGCCAAGGTGTATTATCATTTTTATTTCTCTGTAGGAAGGCCTCCTGCATGAATACCCACATTGGGATTTCTGTGTAAAATTGTTCTTTGGTCTTTACCCAAATCTTTTCTGATAATGTGGTGGTTAAAATCGTTATTGACTTTCAGTTTATTATATCACATGAAAGCATAGTAGCCATATCTCAAATTGATGCTTTCTAAATCAAGTAGTCTTTTATTTTCTCGTTTCACCCATTCTTCAAGCCAACATAAACATGAGGAATAATAATACAATTTAATAATAATAATAATAATAATAATAATAATAATAATAATAATAATAATAATTTATATTTCCTGTCTCTCCCTATGGCTCTAGGCGGGATTACACAATTAAATGAATACAATAAGCAAAATACAAACAATAAA